AGAGTAATGGCCATCATTGGCTGCAGCTGAGTTTTCTCCTGGACACAAAAGGCAGTATGGGAAACAGTCCGTAACATAACAGTTTGATGCTACAGAGAAAGGCACTCCGGGAAAAGCCTGTTGGCTGAGTTTGAGGTGTGTGGAACAAGGACATGTCAGCTCTAATAATACCATAGGTACTGATGTTTTTCCAGAAAAGCCGAAAAGAAATGGAACATGGAGCCATAGCACTTCTGTTTCAATGCAGGCTCCTTGAAGAACAGCTGTGGAGGAAGTTATTTCTAAGAGCTTTACAACAGCCCAAACCGGTAATTCTTTTCTTGTCTCTAGGCAAAAACTTCTCAGGAATAATAACCAAAAGTGCCACTATAGTAGGGAAGAAAGCTTCATCAATGTTTGTTTGAATTGTGGCACTCAGGGGAACTTTAATGAATTTGGGTGAAGGTACAGCCCCTAGTTAGAAACTGTCTGCCACTTAGTGCATTTCTGCCAGTTCCAGAATTGCTGAGACACGTGAAAAAGGTGACTTTGGGGGAATGGCATTCATTGTCCCAAGTGTTACAGTCACTAGCAGCAAGTGATACAGTGCCCTACCAATGGAATTCACTGAATTCTGGGGTCTAGAGAAGCTGTAGCCACTGACAAACTAGGCTCTAAATTCAAACTGTCAGTATGATATTAAAGCTGACTATAAATGTCAAACTTTAGAAATGATGTGCATACTTTCTGTCTTGTTGAAGAAAATAAGTTAATTCTGCTAAGAGATTCTTTCCAGATGTTTGCCATAGAGTTTGTTTTTGAATGTAAGTTAGGTTTGGTAAGAGATCTCTTCTGGATATGTGCTAAACTAGTTTGATCAAGTTTCCTTTTGAATTAAGCATGCAAAATGTGTAATTATTGAATGTAAAGTGTGAATATTGAATGTAATTTTGTAAAAAGTGAATAGTGATCTTCATACTAGGATTGTTTTTATTACTTTTACTTTCAGATATATTTGAATACTTTTTATGATAGCTTAAAATATAATTTAATGATTTCATATGATAGCTTAAAATAAAATCTTATGTTATATGATAGCTTAAAATATAATTTTATGATGGCAGTAGCCCCTGGAAAACTTAAATGAAGATATCATAATTAGGGGAGCTTTTCTGCCTTCTTCCTAGAAGTTTTCACTCTTCCTGTTTCTGTTTAGAAAGGGGTAGACCTCCCACAAAGGGATAAAACTCTTTAGTTTGTAAAAGTGTTTTTATAATTAGCATAGGTTTTTGTTTACGTGTATGGATACTCTGAAATGGTTTGAAATGACTATTTTCTCCTAGGAATCAAAATAGTCTCATGAAAGTTTTATTGAACATCTGTTAGGAGTTTTGACCTAGGAAAGGGGTTTGGTGCAGCTAAGACTGCTGTAACCACCTTAGACCCATTACAATAAGGGTATTCCATCTTTATTATCCTCTACTCCTTTACAGGGAGATCGCTGTGGATGTTTGAAAGCTCATAGTAGGGGCCTGGGTCAGAGCTGAGTTAAGCTCTGTACTCCCTCTTGCTAGAGGCTGGTAGCCAAAGAAGACAGGCACAATCTGAGGGGCCTGGGAGGCCCTCTTTTTATATCAAGAAGGGGAGTTGTGGGGGCCCACAAAGGTTTCCTAGTGAGATCTGAGCTTGCTTTACCCAGCAGAGTTGCATTAGAGGATGGCTTGATCATGAGCAGTTACTAGGTGATTGGAAAGGGTCTGCACTTGACTGTGCTGGGGGGAGATCTTTTGCTCCACTCCTTGGCATTACTATAAATAGCCCTTTAAAAGAGACAGAAGGGGCTGGAAGAAAAGGATTCAGGCCCACCCGAGGCTCTCCTCTGTTTCTGTTCATCTCCCCTCTGTCCTCTTATCTAAATCTCTTATCCCTCACTCCTCAAGAGTATCCTGCACTAAAATGTGGGGGCCAGTCTCCCAGCTGGGCTCCCACATTTGACCAAAGTCTAATGTAGGCTTCAAGAACAGAAGTCAGCTGACACAAATAGGATTGATGTTTTTCTTTTACTATTATTAGTTGGATGGAGAGAGAGGAGCAGGAAGAGAGGGAGAGAATGAAAAGAGAATAATCATGAAATTGGGTGTCTAGGGATGTTGGGGAGGGGATTAATGAGCAAAATCACTGCATTTTGAAATTCAAGGTATAAATAAGAACATCAATTAAAAAATTTAAAAATTGTCGTCTGTCTTAGGCTCCAATGCACATAGGTACTCAAAGGAAACCTGATGGCCACACTGGCCAGGGACCCAAGTAGATGATCTCCTCCTATCATCTAATTACAATTCCCAAGTATTATCCCTAGCTTTGTATCAGATTACTTTCCTCTCTAACAGCCTTCACAGACTGTCTATGCCCATCCTGGTGGCACAACCTGCTTTCCTCTCTCCTGTGGACCTTCTCACCCACAACCCTTCAAAGCCATCACCAGCTCCCCCAAATCCTAGAAAAACATTCTACCTGGAAACCCATCTCCTAACCAGGCAACCCACAGACCCCACATTCTCATAAGAAACAGAATGGGAAATAGAAAACAAGGATCAGAATATCCAACCAAAAAAAAAAAAAAGACCAGTTATTAGCACCTAGAATTATAGGCAGTTCAAACCCAGATACCTAAACATCAGCATAAAAGCATATCAATAACAGCCAGGACTGTATGTCTCTACTGGAGCCTAAAAAACGGACTATAGCATGTCCTGAGATGACATGAAAGTAGAAAAGGAATCAGTAAGGAAAATCTAAACTGAAGGAAAAACTGGAAATGAAAATTTTAGTAAGAACTTTAGAGGCACATTCACACATCAAAAGAAGTTGTTCAATAAGTAAACAAGGAGCTAATGGAATGGCAGAAAATCTTCACCATGATTAAAAGAAACAGCTATATCAAAAATGTGGCACAGGACTGAGGTAGTTTTTGAAGTGATCAATACGCCCAGACTTCAGGAATGTGAAAATTAACTACAATGAGTTTCCAACTTACACCATAAGGATAATTACTATTATGAAGACAAATGATAAGAAAGTAATGGGAAAAGTTGAACAATGTCACAGGGTAATATGGTTAAGACACTAAGCTAATTAGTGTGCAAATTTCCTGAAAAAAAGTGAAAAACATAGAAGTCCCCTGTGACCAAACAATAACCATTCCTGGGAATCTACTCAAAGGACTTCTTCAGATATAAAACACATTAAAGATATTTATACAAATACATACATATGCACACATACATGTACATGTGTATATATACACATATACACACACACACACACATATATATATATATATATATATATATATATATATATATACACACACACCCACACATCTATACTCTCTGATGATCTACCATCAATAGCTAGAAAATTGACGCAACCTAGGTTCTCATCTGATAAATAGGATAATTATGATAGTATATTAACTTATAAAGTCATGGACTTTTCCTCCTAATGGCTGAAAATGGTATGAGGTATAATTAAGGTCCAGGAAGACAAAGTACTCATTTTCTCCCGCTGATTAAAATGCAACCTTTGATTTTTAGATTTATGTTTAACTATGAAATGCCTGAAGAGGTCTGGAAGCTAGAATGTGTCTATCCAAGGATATAACATATCATAGGAAAGTAGAATGGTAATTTTTTTCAAATAATCTGTGGTATCCTACATGCATAGATTATGCTACTCCCAGAAACCACATATTTAAACAAAAATCCTAATGCTTCACATAAAATACGATGTTGTCAGGGAGACTCCAAGACAACAAAATCACACAGGCCTTTGCCACAGTTCTTGGTTGCCAATCAAAATTAGATGATACCCTGCTACTGCAGGTAATGTTTCGGGTTCAGGACATATATACATCAAGCAGAAACTGATTAGAACATTCCTCTCTGTTGGCTACCTTTCTTAGTGCTAGAAAGTGCTATCTATGATCTTACAAAGCTGTAAACAATGCAAACTACAAACCAGACTGCCAGATACAATGAGCCTAATGGTACAACTATGGCATTAGTGTTAAGGATAAAAACCACTTCTTTGCCGGGCAGTGTTGGCGCACGCCTTTAATCCCAGCACTCCGGAGGCAGAGCCAGGCGGATCTCTGTGAGTTCGAGGCCAGCCTGGTCTCCAAAGCGAGTTCCAGGAAAGGCACAAAGCTACACAGAGAAACCCTGTCTCAAAAACCAAAAAAAAAAAAAAAAGACAGGGCAAATCAATGTTCCATTATTATGTTTCATACAACACTATACTCCCTGAGTATCTATAGGCAATTAAACGTTGCTAGGGAGAGGTAAATGTTATTCCTAAGTGATGTAGTAAAGTGGCTTGGCTCAAGTAAAAACCCTGCTTGTAAGGTAAGTCAACATGAATCCATATTCCCAAAGAGACGAGGAAATAGATACCTTGGATGCTGCAGTTGCAGACAACTATAAGACCAATAAGAAGGGTGTTGGGAATGAAACATGGTCTGCTAGTGCATTAGGTACTCTGAATATAATCTCCAGGCCCAGGAATAAAATATTTAGAAATGTTAACTACTATTTAGAGGAGGTACATAGGTAGGAGGATTCCTGAAAGTTCAACTCTAACATGAACTACACCATGAGGTCCAAGTTATCCTGGGGCATTTTTTTCTTAAGCAAGTGATAATTTAAAGGGCAAGTATGAAAAATAATTCAAAAAATTAAAACCAACACTGAATTTGTAGAAAAACCTTTAGTATGTAACATTACCTACAAGAGAATCTAAGAGTACTTCATACTTGTATATATTCAAGAAGTACTATCCAATTCATATTTTCGTGATCAAATGATAGTAGGAATTTTTTAAATTTAATGGAGACTATTGGAAAAGGATGTGAAAATGAATATCATATCATAAACCACATTGAAACGTTACGAGCCATTATATTAATGAAAGTTATGGAATGCAAAGGTGTGAAAACATTTAGTTACAAATAGAAGACATACCTTGAGGATGTATAAGAAGACTCAATTTTAAAGAAATCTATTCTCTCCTACTTAATCTATTAAATGTGGTGCAAATGAAATTAAAAGTGCATTTTTTCCAACTTGACAAATAATTGTAAGCATCAACTCTGAGGAAAAAATTGACTACATACAGGGAATACTCTGAAAAAGAAGAGAAAGGAGGCTGAACTCAATAGAACAGGTAAGACAGTATAAATCATCAGTAATTAACAAGTTAATAGAAGAGAAAGCAAACAGACATGCAGCAAATTACATGATTTTTCTATATGCTAGATTTTAAGAACAGTATTATTCAATGGAAATAATTTTATTATTTAATATTCTAGGATATCAATAATCAGGAGCAAAAGAAATAGAAAAATCTCTGATGAAAAATTAGGGAGACAACACAGTGAAGTATGATATGAACATAAACATGCTTGCAAAAGAAAAAAAAACAAGACTCCAAAGACATGAGAGAACATGATTGTATTTCATTGAATAAGTTATGTACAACCTAGTATTAAAACGAATAGAAAACACATATTATTTCATTTGACACACAATGACCTGCTTACAGACTCAATTACAAATGGGTTTATAAATAAGTAACAGATACTCAGCATGAAAACTCAAACAGAACAACAAATAGAAATGAATAGCATGATGATTCAATAATATTAAATACTTTATAATATTATATTATCAGTAAAAACAAGAAGTGTACTATTAACTAAAATATTTGTAGTTTTAATAATTTATTTAATAATAATATTCAAATCCACTAATTCATCTTAGGGTATTGACTAAAATGTAGATTTGATATAATTTGCCATGGTACATCAAAGCAATACAAATTATTCTGAGCTCTCTGTGAGATTTATATTTCCATATAAACATAATGACTACATAAAAAATTTAAAACTATTCTTTCAACTCATGAAAGATGCACTTACAAATATTTTTGAAAAAATTCTCCCAAAAGTACCAGAGAATTCCATAAACTTTGATTAACACTGTATGTTAAAATTAGGATGAATTTTAAATGTAATATAAAGCTTCATACAACACTATTCTAACTTAGCACATGGTCCATTTCTATAATCACCACTCAGGCAGCTGAGGCAAAGTGAGTTCAAATGTCAGACTGTGCTACAGTTAAACCATTTAAAAATGAAAATTTATAATCAGTTCTAATTTACTTCAAATCAGCCTCAAGATTAACATGAAGTCATTATTATTATCATGAGAAGCACTTCGTACTTATGAAAACACTGTGATGAAGCCAATGTCAGTTCCATCATACTATTTTTATCCATGTGGTAGTGTCTCCATTTCTTGAGTTAGTCCAACAAAATCAATGAAAGTCTTTAAATATATATAAAATATTTTCTTCAAAGACATATTTCAGTCTCCATCCAATAAGCTGAGGTCAATTTTAATGATCAATAAGACTAGTCACGCAACACCTTCTGAGATCTTTTTACAGTTATGAAGGTTGTAGATACAATGATTATCTATTTTGGTGATCACCTAAAAGCACAAAGGAAGAAATTCAGAACCATTAGTATTATCAAAGTACAGCGTATTTTATTTTTATATAAAAACAGGTATTTCTTATTCTTAAACCACAAATAATAGTACTGAACAAGTCAGTTTTCTGTATTACTGAGTTTATTTAATTTTCATTGTCCTTGCTAGTTTGGTAAATACAAACACTTTCAAATAAGCATATATGGCCACTTGAACCTGTTTTCCCTGTAAATTCTCCCTATCCTGCTTACTTTAATTTTTTTTTCAGAGCTGAGGACCTAACCCAGGGCCTCACGTTTGCTAGGCAAGCGCTCTACCACTGAACTTTTTGACTATGCATATAATGTGACCACCAGCATCATGCTACTGCTGACATGCCCTCTCCACCACTGTAGAATGTTGACTGTACTGTGAGCCCATAAGTGATTGGATCATATATTTTTTAAATGTTTATTTTCATTATTTCAATTGTGGGTGTATCATGTATATATGTGTATGATGGTTGTGAGCTACTAAGCTAACTAAACTCAAGAGCCTTTGAAAGAGAAGTACTCACTTTTAACTGCTAAGCAATTTATCTCTACTTTTATCACGTGTTTTTTTCTAAGCAACAAATCACAAAACCAAAATTGAATATGTAAGCCAATTAAATAAAGGGCAACACCATTTGTACATGTATTAAATCATTGTTTTAATAAAATGACCTCCTAAAAAGACTGTTTCAGGAGGACTGGAGATGTTAGATGGCAATTTCTAGACATGAACAAAGTACTGAGTGTAATTCCTATAACTGCATAAACCAGGAATGAGGGTGCACATCTCTATCTAATCCTGGTAGACAAAGGAATTAGAAGTTCATGTCCATCGTCAGCTACATAGAGTTTGACACCAGCTTTGGATACCTCAGACAAATCTCAAAGATTTATAAAATAACTAATTCAAGGTTGCAATTACAGTTTACTCATAGTGTACTCTGGTTCATATATGAGAGCCACAGATTTCATACCAATCACTGGGGAAAAAATGATTTCTTTAATACAGAAAAATCAAATACATGAAAACAATAATGTTGGAAATAATATTATTTTGCTACATCTAGCCCCAAATGACCTACTCTGGTGATAGGATGGCCAAATACCCTAATTGTGGGACTAGAAACCTCATGCAATGACTGAGGAAACCGGATGCAGAGATCCACAGTCAGGCCCCAGGTGGAACCCCAGGAGTCCAATTAGGGAGAAAGAGGAGGGTTTTTATGAGAAAGAATTGTTGACACCAAGGTTGGAAAAAGCACAGGGACAAATAGCCAAATGAATGGAAACACATGAACTATGAACCAATGGCTGAGGAGTCCCCAATTGGATCAGGCCTTCTGGATAAGAGCAACAATTGATTAGCTTGATCTGTTTGGGAGTCGTCCAGGAAGTAGGACTGGGACCTGTCCCACATGCACTGGCTGTTTGGAACCTGGGGCTTATACAGAGACACTTGGCTCAGCCTGGGAGGAGGGTACTGGACTGAATCTACCAAGTAGAACTCAATCCTCAGGGGAGTCTTTGCCATGGAGGAGATAGGAATGGGGGGGTAAGCTGCGGGGAAGGCGGGGGGAGGGAATCCATGGCTGATATGTAAAATTAAATTAAATTATAAAATAAAATTAAAAAAATAAAATTAAATAATAAAATTAAAATCCTTTCTTACCTTTAGTTTAGAGTTCACTTTCGTAAAGTAAATTTTCGTAGACTCCATAAGTTGCTATCACAGTAGGTTTAATAAGTCTGTCATCATAATTACCTGAAAAAAAAAGTAGCCAATACAAAGCATGTTGTTTATGAAGCAACTATTAGGAGCATTATTCTGTTCTCAGGGCCAAAACTTATATTTAACAGCAAATATTCCTATCCAGTTCCCACTTATTATTTGTGTGGGAGCCCTCAGAGTCCAGAAGCATCAGATACCAAAGATGAGAAATATGTCTTTGGGTGCTACAAATATAACTGAAGTCCCCCGGAAATACAGTTCACATACTCAACAAGCCTTGACTCCAGCATCTTATTTTTAATTCATGTGTATGTGCCTGTATGTGAATATATGCATGTGAGAGCAGATGCCTGATTCAGAGACATTTTAGATTCCCCAGGTTCTGCAGTTACAGGCAGCAGTGAGTCACCACAGGTAGCTGGGGACAGAGCTCAGGTTTGAAAGAACGTTAAGTGCTTTTAACAGCTGAGCCATCTATCTACCACTCAATTACTATATAATAGTATCACTATTTAAAGTTCTCCCAGTTAATTTTGTAGGATCTACACATCCCTAAATGCCTACTTGAGATCCCTGAAGCATATCAAACACATATAATGAAGGAATAATCTATTCTTCTTCTATATAAAAATTACATCGAATGAATGGAAAGGTAGTTTAGTAGTTCAGCTTATACTTTATCATGCTTCAGACCCTGGGTTATATTCCAAGCACAAAAATGTAATACTAAAACTTGCAATTTATCCCAAATGTGACATAACAAAAACTATCTAAAATAGCATCCTATACCTATTAGGATACCATGCCATTACAAATGTTTACCCTTTAAAACATTTTTTATTTAATACATTTCACTCATAGGTTCATCACAAGACATGATCAGCTTAATACTCACGTGAATTTTCATCTTCTCCTTTTTATCATTGGATAATGGAATACTGATTGTTGACACATAAGGTGCTGGAGTGTCTAAAATTCTTCACAAAAATGTTCAAAAACCATTCATAAGGGCTGCTAGGAATAGAAAGTTGGATATGGCAACCCATCACTCCCATGATGTTGTCAATCAAAGATACAGGCATAAATTGTCTCTTTCCTGTTTTTTAGTTGCTTATTTGCAAAGGCCCTTATAAAATACAAAGGCAGATAGAAGTGGTCTTACTCCTTTCTATTTTTTAGTGTTAAAACTTTAACGTTCTTCCTGAACATGTTTTCTGTTTGCATAAATTGTTCATTTGTTCTAGATGTTCTCATGTGACAATTTCCAAGCATGAATACACTGTTTAAATCACTTGAACAAATCTTCAATCATTACTGGAAAATAACATACATCGTAATACAGAAGTATTAACTTTCAGACTGATATTACCTATGTGCAATTAAAATTTTCTTAATTATCCACTTTAATTGGAAGAACTAAAATATATCTACATGTATGTCAATTGTACATTTCTTCAATTAAAATTCAACAAACACCATTTCTACAGAAAATGGATATTTAAAATATTAAATTACATTCACTTTAAGCTACAATCCTTATGATCTGTTCACTGACAGATCTGGCATTTTGCTATTTTTATATTCAACAATTAAATTTGAGAATCAGAAATGATAAAAATCTTAGTAGCCAACTCCAAAATATGAAAAATAATTTACATAGTTTTATAACTCCTGATTTTGTAGGAAGGTACTCAGTTTTTTTTTTGCTTTCATGTTTTCTTCTGACACAGGGTCTTATGACCCATGGCTGGCCTCAAACTGGGTATGTAGCTGAGTATAATCTTGGCAGGTGCTGGTATAAGTGTTCCTCATCAAGCCCAACTCTATAATTTATATTGCCTTTAATGTCACACAGGCTACTTTTTCTTACAGTACATTAGAGGGAACACTAGATGTTTACATTTAATAATCCTACATGAAAAATATACAAAAATAAAACAAGTTTTTAAAATTTTATACACTGAAGATGTATAAATACATAAATAAATTTATAAGATGTATAAACACATAAACAAAGTTATAGGCTCTTCATTAACACAAAATATGTCTAAATAATCTGAATTAGAACTAGAATATTAATTTTATAATTTGTAAAGTGGGAATACTAATGTAAAAACAAACAAAAACACATGAAAGATGAATACTAAGTAGTTTATATACTACTATAACATAAGATGTATATGTGAATGTAATATAAAACAAATTTGCCTAGGTTAAATGGGCAGGAAACAATGCTTTTACAATTATATCATTAATTTAAAATTTTTTTACTGTTCATCTTTCTTCATGAAGATGAAAAGTATCTAATTCTTTTCTTTAAGTAATTTTTCTCCAAGTAAAAATAAGACCTAGCTTATTCTCCATGAGAAACTACTTAGAAACATTTTTATACTTAGTAAACTGAGTAGTCCTTATCTATTGCATTGAAAAAGCATTTGCTGGAATAATTTTATTAATGTTAGTTTACAATGAATATTCACAGGCTTATATTTTGTTAAGAATGTATATCTAAAAATGGATTTTTCAAATGGAAACATTTATCAGTTATTTACAACTTGTCTTGAATGCTGTCATGCAATGTAAATATAATAGTATATTAATTCAGAGGTAGAAGTAACTCTTTAAGAGTTTTTTCCTATAATGACTAACAAGGTATTTACATGGTGGCCTATCATTAATACAACCACAGAATTATAATTTGCACCCCTAATTGTACAATATAAACCTTACTTATCCTATGGTTAATGAAGATTTTTCTTGAGATATGTAGCCAAAGCTAAATTTAAATACTCTTAAGAAAACTCACTCCCCTAACAAATAATGAACATAAAGTAGAAAAAAAAATCGCAACTTTAAAAATTTCATTCCCGAAATTTAGTGGGTGCAATGAAAGTTTACAATGATGTATTTACAAAATTATACCCTGTGACACTCTATACATCTAGAAAGACTAGATGTTAAAATTTTGTATTTGACTATTATTTACAAAGTTGTCTTGAATATTGTCATGCAAACAGGAAACACATACAAAACTTTGTAGTGTCCCAAGAGGTAGTACAAAATCTTCATGAAAGTTGACAAAAAAAGTAGAAAAGAGGTGCATCAGTAGGCTCATTATTGCTCAACAAGCCAACTGAAATACCTACCATGTCATTTTTAATGTGCAACTCACATGAAAAAATGGTCAACTATCCTACTATGAGAATAGAGTAAATGCATAGTGTTTATAACTTTCTCCTTTAACATTCAAACAAACATGAAAAACTGTGAGCTCCATGATCCCCTCTATAAACTATCAGTTTGTCATATTAATTGAAATAGACAATAGTATTTACAATATATTTATAAGCTTATAATTTCTAAGTCTCAGTATCTCTAGAATTACCAGTGGCTTGATATAAAAAGTAACTTATTACTTACAGAGTTAATTTTTGCCATGTATCGGATTAATATAAAACAATGTAATTCTGAAATATCTAGATCATTTGGAGAAATAAATTGCATCACAAATCTCAGTGATCAGAAAAATAAAATGTAGCTACATGCCTTTTATATAGCATATACATTTTTCAAAGAACAGTGATATTTTATGTGCTTATATTTGAGTTATACTCCTAAATAATTTAGTAGCTAAAAAGAGTATCTTGACACCATGGTAGAATATACACACATATTTTTTACCATATATATTAAAAGAGGCCTTTGCTAACACTATATTCAGGTAATTCGACTTTATCATACAACACAATGAAACCTACATAAAGATAATATTTTAACAACAAAAATAATTTATTCTTTTCCTATAGTCTATATGTTTAAAATCTGAACTATTACAGGCCAAATATTTTAAACATAGCTTTCCATAAACAAAATTTATTCTCTACTCATGAAGTTTTTAAAATAATGTAACTACATACATATGAAACATACAGTTTTAAAACATTTTATCACATAAAAGCACTTATTCTAAATTTTAAAAGTAAAATATATTCAGAAAATGTAATCAGAAATTATGCATATAGGCAAAAGTAGTCAGATAAAGTGGTTCAAACAAACCTCATATAGATTAAATACAAAACAGAGATTGATAGTTCTAATGTTAAGACTGATTAAATCTTATTATTAACACCATGTGTATATGGTAGTTGATGGGATTTGGTGTTTCTACAAATGTAGGAATTTCAGACAGTCTACACAAATTCAGTCTATTATTTCTGCAGTAGTCAAACACTGCCAGGTTACGTTTAAAAAAATGAATAGATACTAGTAGAAACAAGTTAAGAATTAGACTGGATAAAAAGTCTGCACAATATACATAACAACTGTTACAATTCTCACAAATATTTAAACAGAGAGAATGGGGATCAAATCTTATTATGTAGCTTACTTTACTGACAATCACTGATTCAGTTACTAAAAAAATGACTGATAAATGGAACCATGGAAGATTCACTGACAGATTTCTGGTGTTTGTTGAATGTAACTGACTAATTTTATAAATCCAAAGTATGATACAGCAATTCCAATTTAAAAAAAAAAATGTTTGCTTTTACTTTACAGTTCACAATTCACAATGAAAAACTAGAAAAACATTGCTGTATCATATTCTCTGGTGACAAAGAAATTTGTAATCTTGTATTTCAGCAACTATTGTTTTATCTAAGTACAGACATACTAATGAGTTAATATGTATATAATACTCCATGTACATACATGTAATATGGGACAATCATAATTACATCAACACTAAAAATTTAAAACAGCAAAAAATTATACATTTTATTTATATCATGTAAGAAAATGCTGTAAATGATGTTAGTTATATGGATGTGATACAAATGTTTAAGAATATAATATGTACTATGTCTTTGAAATATTGATGATATTTGTGGACTAATATCATAGGGTCACTAGACTTTAGTTCACAGACAACATTCCTATCATAAAGGTCAAATATTCCTTGGCATCAGATTCATCCACAAAACATATCTAATAATTTCTCATTGGGGTATAGTCATGTAAAATCATCTCTCTGAAATGGTACCCTCTTAAATCCTTTTTAACATGGCATAAAAACAGTCTAGAAGTTCCTGAACAAGCAATAAAATAATTCTAGTAATTTAATGATCTTCAAATGCAAAAATCATCTATCACTTTTCCTTATAAGATTAAATTAACATGGTGCATTATTCTATTATACACATGTCAATGTAAAAGAATATTCAATCCTAGATAATAGGGTGATGTTTTTCTGAACTAGTAAATAAACATAAGCTTCTTTGATAACATAACCATGACTACCATATATACATAAGTACTAATTGAAAGGATAGCCACAATAATCCAATAAAAGATTATATTATATACTATAGAAATTCTACTTTTTTTTTTAAATATTTAAAAACATTTCTTCTATATTTTAACAAACACCATGATTTGTAATCTACATAAAGAAAATGACATAATCATATTTGAATGACTTCTCACATGTAGTGAAAATAATGCCTTTTTCCAGTTTATACTTTATGCACTTTTTATAGCCCCTTGTTTCACACTAACCTTAGCAACTCAAAACATAAATATAACATTAATTTGCTTGCCATAATCTTTATGAAATGATGATTTTTATCAAGTATGTAATAGAAATTTCTCTTGCGGTTATTTTATCACAGCAATCATTTCACATACCATATTGTTGTTTAAAATCTAAGTAATTTTTACAATATAAACCAAAAAATAAATACAAGTATTTTCTGATTTGACTCTGAACCATGTAAAATACAATACTTTGTTTAATCAAGAACCATCTTACATTTCTATGTTAACTAAATTATGCCAATGAGTTAGTATATATTTAAAATAATATTCTATCAGTTATAAAAGTTACCAGAACCTCAAGATTTAGAGATGATTTACAATTGTAGGAGAACATAAATCTACTTGTTGTATATGCAAGCAGATATGCAAAGATTCAGAGGTAAATCTTACAAAGGCAGGAGAATACTCCACAGTAAGAAAATACTACAGCAGTAGCTCATATACAAAAAGAAATGCTCAAGGAAGCATGTCAGAGGAACAAAAACAAACTGGTATATAGATAATTATCCAGACTCTGCCAAATCAAGTGTCCCAAAATGGGAATAAGTTCTCTTGCTGCCAAAAAATTAAACAATATAATAATTACTCACACTCAGTATCAGCAATCACAAAGTTAATTCACCTCCCTAAAGTGTTCATAGGAATACTTTATTCCACCAATGCCTTGTGAGGATAAAGATAAATTAACCTCTCTGAATTCCACCTCAGCATTCCAGTAAATATCAAATTCCTATCTTATTCAAAAATCAATGAATGTCTTACTAACAATCTAGCAATATCTCAATATAGTAAATGGAAACGCTATCAGAATGACTAGGAACATGCTCAAGAAACTACAACCCAGGGTAAGATCTGGGTAACTGGAAGAGACACATTAGCTTCCAAGGTCTTTCTCAAGTTTCTTTATCAAATGAAAATCAAGGTGAATGCTATTATGCGATGTGAATATAGAGGCACTTTACAAAAGGAAAATGTAATGGGTATAAAACCAATTTTGCTATATTGGAAAAATCTACAGCTCCAGTCTCCTTGAAAAAAAATTTGTGATATCATATTCTAATAACTTAAGTTTCAAAATTTTGTTACCTAAGTCATTAATATGACACTTTGGCTAGACTTCAGAGTAATCATTGAGCCACATTTCATCATGCTCAGTAAGCATACCTCATCATAAATCCAGCCAAGGTCCTCTAAAAGGTATTTACCAAAAGTTGTGTAAAAAATGGAACGTGGTAGGTGGTTACCTGGTACTGATGTGGTAGGAAAGACAGTGAATTTGAGGGGCCTGATTTAGAAAGTAACTTATGATTTACAGGTATGGTTCAGTAACAGAGCAATTGCTTCACACGAACAAGATCCTGGGCTAAATTAACAGCACTAAAAACAATGTAGAATGTATGGAGGCTAAGTTTATCGTTACCTAGTGAGATATACAGGACATCTTGAGTTCAAACATCAATGCTCATTCATGCATTCTTTCTGTATATCTGTCTCTCTCATACACACAAACACACACACACAAATAAATTAAATAAATAAAGTTTTAAAAAATACACAGTAATCTTACCACAAGAGAAGATGCTAGCATGAGAATCAGTGATAAGCTTGATATACTAACTCAAGTAGAGACAGCTTGTCAGACAATGAATTGAAAAAAGAACTGAGTCCTGAAAGTTGATCTCAGATCACCTCAAGAACACCATGGATAGAGAAAGCACTGGAGCCCATGTGCAATGTTGCACACATGCACACAAGCACACGCACACAAGCGCACACGTGTACACACATACACACACAATAAATAAATAAATAAATAAATAAATAAACAAATAAATAAAAAAACAAATGAATAGGATTAATGCAAGGCTGTAGTCCCATACTTAGGATACTGAAGCAGGAATACTGTGACCTGGAAGCCAGTTTGGCTGAGTTATATAATAAGATAATGTTTCAAAACTCAAAAATCAAGTAAAATAAAAACAAGCCAAAACACAAACAAGCAAACAAAATCCACACAGATGCTTGTCCTGTCCATTTTAACACTACACAAGAAACAGTACTCAAGGCCCTAGAGTTTAATCCCCAGGATAAAAATATAATTGAATAAATGTGCAAACTAACAATTAATGCATAGGCAAACATCATACCAGCAGCAGAGTAAGAATGAGATCCAGGGTTTCATAAAACTAAATATAGTAAATAATTATCAGTTTCCACACATAAATCATTCAAAGTTTATATCTGTCACCACAGATTATGAAAAACCCTTTGTTTTTACCAAGGTTTTTGTCATGCAATTTCAATTGTTAACTGAAGTCTCCAGAAGGTACAAAAATGGCAGCTCACCTATTGATTCTATAATAGCAAATGACAAATGACTCTATTTTGTGCTATTTTTTGCCACTTTGAAAGTGACCCATTGACCACATCTAATTCTAACATAACATCCCAATGACTATCAAAACTTTTAAAATGCATTCTTAATAAGACCCTAGCTTTCAATACTTCAAAACCTAAGAATGTCATCAAATAGAACCTGATTCTTAGAATTTAGATTTTCCCACTTTGTTATAACTTCCCTCCCTGATTTTCCCAATTTATGACCTTGTTTTGATGTAAGCTATACACAACTGGTCCTACACAAAAACAATGATATGAGGCAACTTGAATCTGTGTTTCCCTAAGCTATGACCCTTCTAATTCTTCTCTTACATAAATTCTTTACTCTTTGAGGTGACAATTGAAGTTTTGTTTTGACAATGTTTTGGGGGGAGTGTATTTAAATGTGGAGTACCAAAGATGGTACATTGTCAAACAAATTCTCCAGATATGACCCATATACCAGCATGTAGCTTTGTGCCTCTAACTGTTGTTACTTCCTTGGCTGGGAACTGATACAAGCATTACGGCAGGTAAATAAATAAATAAATAAGCATTACGGCAAGGCAATAAATAAGTAAATAAATAATCCTATGAACATGAATAAATAAATAAATGATATGGTGAACCAATAGATTAATATATAAATAATCCACGAGTCAATGAAGAAAGAAAGAAACAAATAAATAAATATTCAGGGTAATGAATAAATCTGTAAGTATTACGGCGAGCCAACAAATACATAAGTAAATAAATAAATAATCTAGAAATACAATAAATATATAGATAAATATGAGGAGCCAATAAATAAATAAATAAATAATCCAGTGAGACAATAAATAAATAAAATAAAAATCCCAGAGTGGAAATAAATAAGTATTCCAGCCAGCCAGTAAATAAATAAATATGTAATGGATAAATATTCAACAATCCAACAAATTAAAAAAAAATCAAGAAGTTAGTAAGTATGTATTCTGGCGAGCAAATAAATAAATAGGTAAGTATTAGGGGAGTCAATATATAAATAAACAAATAATTAAATAATCTGGCAAGTTGATGCATCAATAATGAAGCAAGGCAATATATAAATAAATAGATCAATAAGCCAATAAATAAACAATTAATCCAGCAAACAATAAATAAAGAGATCAAGAAGCCAATAGATAGATGGATGAATGGATGGATAGATGGATGGATAGGTAGTTAGGTAGGTAGGTAGATAGATAGATGAATAGTCTAACAGACTAGAGGCATAGCTTATCCATATAGCATTTGCTAAGCACCTAGAAGACCTTTTATTAGTCAACAGTAATATAAATGAAACAATGAATGAATAAAGGAATACATGAGCAAGCACACATATGAATAGATAAGTAAATGAATAAATAACAAATACAACAAGCAACTAAATATATAAACAAATATCCCAGCGGGTAAATAAATAAATAAGTGACCATAAATAAATAAATTTAGATGATGCACCAGAGCAACATATAAATAAATAGGTCAATAGTCATTAAATACATAAATAAATAGATATATAGGTATGTAAACAGTCTAACAGAGAAGAGACATGGCACATCACTATGGTATTTCTCAGCATATTGAGGACCTTTTACTACTGTAGGACAAAATAAATGAATGCTTTCACACGTACATTACACAAATATATAAATAGATAAGCAAGTTAATCAATGAATCAATAAATAATACAGAAAGACAATAAGTATATGAATAAACAATTTAGCCAATAAAAAAATAAGTATATAAGCAAGCATGCACACCAATAAATAAATAAATGACACGGTATGCCAATAGATAAATAGATAATGCAGCAAGAAAATATATAAATAAATAGATCATGAAGCCATTAAATTAATAGTTATATAGATTTATATACAGTCTACCACAGAAGAGGTCTGGCTCATCAGTTTGGTATTTCTCAGCATACTAATGGTTTTTCACTAATCTAGGGCAAAATAAATGAATACTTCCATACACACACAAATATATAAAGACAAGCAAGTCAATAAATAAATAAATAAATAAATAAATAAATAAATAACCCAGCAAGCCAATGTATACATAAATAAATCCAGCCAATCAATCTTTAAGTCTGTAAATAAATAAATAACACAGCAAGCCAATATATACATAAATAAATCCAGCCAATCAATCTTAAATAAAGAAATAATGCAGCAAGTCAATAGAAAAATAAAGAAACTGCCCAGTGGTGGTGGCAGATGCCTTTAATGCAGCACTTGGGAGCAGAAGAAGGTGGATCTGTGAGTTCAAGGACAGTCTTGCCTACAGAGTAAGTTCCAGGAAAGGCCCCAAAGCTACACAGAGAAACCCTGTCTCAAAAAACCAAAAATAAAATAAAGAAACAATTTAATAAATAGATAGATAGATAGATAGATAGATAGATAGATAGATAGATAGATAGATAGATAAACATTCTAACAGAATAGAGGCATGGCTTCTCAGTATAATATTTCTCAGCATTTTGAAGGCCTTTTATTACTTCAAAGTATAATGAATGAATAAGCCAGCACGCCAATAAATAAATACATCAAGAAGCCAATAGATGGATGGATGGATGGATAGTTAGATAGATAGATGTACAGACAGACAGATAGATAAACATTGTAATAGAGTAGAGGCATAGATTATCAGTATAGAATTTTCTCAGTACAATGAAGGAAGCCCTTTTATCATGGTAAGGTAAAATAAATAAATAAGCAAGCCACTAAATAAATAAATAAGAAGCCGATAGAAAGATAGATAGATAGATAGATAGATAGATAGATAGATAGATAGGTAGGCAGATATTCTGGAGAGCAAATAAGTAAGCAAGCATTAGAGAGCCAATCAATCAATCTATCTATCTGTCAATCAATAAATAAATAGATAATGCACCAAGGCAATATATAAATAAATAGATCAATAAGCCAACAAATAAACAAATAATCCAGCAAACAGTAAATATATATATATATATATATATATATATATGTAAGCAAATAAATAAATAAATAGATGGACAGACACAGAGACAGATATCAACAGTCTAACAGAGTAGAGGCATGGCTTATCCATACAGCATTCGGTAAGCATCTAGAAAGCATTTTATTAGTCAACAGTAATATAAAACAATGAATGAATAAATGATGAAACACACCAATGAATAAATAACCAAATGAATAAATAACAAATACAGCAAATAAATAAATAGTCTGGCAAGTAAATAAAGGAATAAATAGATAATGCAGCAAGGCAATATATACATAGAACAAGAAGCCATTAAATACATAAATGTACACGCATAGATAAACAGTCTACCAGAGAAGAGGCATGGCTTATCAGGATATTTCTCAGCATATTGAAGGTCTTCTACTATTCTAGGATAAAATAAATGAATACTTTCATATACACATATATAGACAAGCAAGTCAAATCAATAAATAATATAGCAAGACAATAAATGCATACAAATAAACAATCCAGCCAATTAAAAAATATATAAGCAATCAAGCATGCAGATAGATAGATAGATAGATAGATAGATAGATAGATAGATAGATAGATAGACAGACAGATAGATAAGTGTCCCGGTAAGCCAATAAATAAATAGATCATGCAGCAAGGCAATATATAAATGTATAGGTCAAGAAGCCATTAAATAAAATAAATAAATAATTATATAGATTTATAAACAGTGTAATGCAGAAGAGTCTTGGCTTTAAGAGTCTTGGCTTATCAGTATAGGATTTATCAGCATACAGAAGGTCTTTTACTAATCTAGGATAAAATAAATGATTATTTCCATACCACATAAATATATAAATAGACAAGCAAGTCAATAATAAATTACCCAGCAAGCCAATATATACATAAAAAATCCAGCCAATCACTAATCAATCTTTAAGCACACTAATAAATAAATACTTAAATAAATAAGTAAATATTGCTGTAAGCCAATAAAAATAAAAATGAATCCATTAAGTAAATATATAGTCGATAGATAGATAAACATTCTAACAGTAGAAGCATGGCTTCTAAGTATAGTATTTCTCAGTACTTTAAAGGCCTTTAAAGTAGAATGAATAAAGAAGCCAGCATGCAAATAAATAAAATCAAGAATCCAATATACAGGTAGATGGACGGACGGATGGATGGGTGGATAGATATATATATAGATAGATAGATAAATACATACAGATAAACATTGTAACAGTGTAGAGGCATAAATTATCAGAGTAGTATTTTATCAGCATAATGAAGGCCTTTTATTACTCTAAGGTAAAATGAATAAATAAATAAATAAGCAAACAGGCCAATAAATAAATAAATAGATCAAGACAATAAATAATCCAAGTCAATAAATAAATAGATCAAGAAGCCAAAACATAAGTAGATAGACAATACTTTGATAGATGGATAGATAGATACATAGATACACAGAATCATAGATATATAGATACATAGATTAGATAAACAGTATCACAGAGTAGAAGCATAGTTTATCAGTATAGCCATTTCCAATTACCTGGCAAGCCATTTATTAGCCTACGGTAATATAACTGAAAGAATTAATTAAACAATCAATCAATAAATAAATAAGCAAGCATGTCAACAAATAAATATATAAATAGATAAATAATGCAGCAAGCCATTAAATAGATAAATAGACCAGGAATTCAATAAGTAAATAAATAAAGATATATAGATATATAAACAGCCTAACAATGTAGAGACATGGCTTATCAGTATAGTATTTCTCAGCACACTAAAAGCCATTGACTATTATATGGTAAAATAGATGAAAACATTTATACATACATACACACATAAATACATACATATATAGACAAGCAAGTCAAAAAATAAATAATATAGCAACCCAACAAAAAATAATAAATACATCAAGTAGCAAATAAATAAATAGATGGATAGACACATATGAAGATAATCAACAGAGAGATAGACTGACTAACCAGGAGAGGCATGATTTATCCACACAGTATCTCAGCTCACTGAAGGCCTTTTCCTAATGAATACAAATGAATACATACATACATACATACATAAACAAATGAATACATACATACATACATACATAAACATACAAATAGAAAAACAACCCAATAAATAGATAGATGATAGATAGATTAAGATAATCCAGCATGTAAATTAATAAACAAATAGATAAATAAATAATCCAGAAAGCCAATAAATAAATAAATAAATGGATGAATGAATAAATAAACAATGCGGACAGCTGATTAATCAATCAATCAATCAATAAGTAAGTATTTTGGGAGCAAATAAATATGTTAGTAAGGAAGAGAGTATTATGGAAGCCAATAAATAAATAAATAAATAAATAAATGAAGGAAGGAAGGAATGAATAGATAGATAAATAAATGATCTGGTGGCAAAATAAAAAAATAATCAATTCACAAGCCAATATTTAATTGAGTAAGCAACTAAGTAAGTATTCCAGTTAGCAAATAAATGAATAAGTATTAGGAGATTCAGTAAGTTACTAAATGAATAATCTTGCAAGTTCAATAAATAAATAAATAGATAATGCAGCAAGGCAATATATAAACAGATCCATAAGCAAATAAATAAATAACCCAGCAAGCTGTGCTCGCGTCGGCAGCACATATACTAAATTTGGAATGATACAGAGAAGATTAGCATGGCCCCTGTGCAAGGATGACATGCAAATTCATGAAGCATTCCATATTTTTTTAAACTATACATTATTTGCAAACAAAGGGTATTATGTGTTTTCAAAGCTTTTATAAATAAAGGCTTCAGAAATGTTTTCTTAAAAAAAATCCAGCAAGCAATAGAGATCAAGAAGTCAAGGCAGTTAGATAGATGTATCAATAGATAGATAGACTGATAGATAGATAGATAGATAGATAGATAGATAGATGATAGATAGATAGAGAAACAGATAAACAGTCTAACAGAGTAGAGGCATGGCTTATCCATATAGCATTAGCTAAGCATCTAGAAGGCCTTTTATTAGTCAACAGTAATATAAGCGGAACAATGAATGAATAAAGGAATAATTAAGCAAGCACACCAATGAATAAATAGCAAGCAAATAAATAAATAAATAAATAAGCTGGCAAGTCAATGAATAACCAAATAAGTACTTAATGCAGCAAGGCCACATATTAATAAATAGATCAAGAAGCCAGAAAATACATAAATAGATATATAAACTGTCCAATAGAGAAGAGACATGGTAGCCAGGCACTGGTGGTCCATGCCTTTAATCTCAGCACTCCGGAGGCAGAGGTAGGTGGATATCTGTGAGTTCAAGGCCAGCCTGGAATACAGAGAGAGTTCCAGGAAAGGTACAAAACTGCACAGAGAAACCTTGTCCCAGGGAAAAATATAAAAACATAGAAGAGACATGGCTTATCAGTATGGTATTATTCAGCATATTGAAGGTCTTTTATTACACTAGGATAAAATAAATGAATACCTTCATATACACATATATAAATGTATAAATAGACAAGCAAGTCAATCAATCATTAAAAATAATAAAGCAAGATAGCAAATACACAAGTAAATAAATAATCCAGCCAATACAAAAATAAGCAAGCAAGCACACCAAGAAACAAACAAATGGCCCAGTAGGCCAATAAATACATAATGCAGCAAGGCAATATATAAATAGATCAAGAAGCCATTAAAAAATAGTTACATAGACTATCATATAGTATTTTCTCAGCACATTGAAGGCCTTTTACTACTCTAAGATAAAATTAATAAATAAATAACTAAATAAGCAAGCAGGCCAATAAATAAAAAGGTCAAGAAGCCAAGAAATAATCTATCAAGTCAATAAATAAATAGATAGATCAAGAAGCCAAAAGTTAAGTAGATACATACATCGATAGAGACCTGATAATCCAGTGAGTCAAAAAATAGATAGATAGATAGACAGAGATAGATAGATAGATAGATAGATAAAGTAAATAAATAAATAAATAGGCAAGCCAATAAATAAACAAATAATGGTGAGCCAATGAAAAAAAAAGTAAATCAATAAATAATCCGGCAAGCCAATTAACACATAAATATTTCAAAGAGCAAATAAACAAATAAATAGGTGAGTAAGTATTCTGGGAAGCAAATAAATATGTTTGTAAGTAAGTATTACAGTGAGCCAATAAATAAATAAACAAATAAAGGAAGAATATATGAGTAAATAATGTGGCAATGCAAAAGATGAATAAGTAAATATATAGATAAATAATTCAGTGATTCAATAAATAAACAAGTAAGAACTCCGGTTAGCAAATAAATAATTCAACAAGCCAATAAATAAAGCAATTACTAAGTAAGTAATTATTCTGGCGACCGAATGAATGTTAGTAAGTAAGCAGTATGGTGAGCCAATAAGATAGATAGATAGGTAGATAGATAGAGATAGATAGATAGATAGACAGACAGACAGACAGATAGATAAATCCTGCGAATCAATAAATAAATATTCCGGCAAGCAAATAAATATGTTAGTAAGTATGTATCACGATAAGCCAATAAATAAATAAAAGAATAAATAAATAATGCGGAAAGACAATAAATAAAAAATAGACAGAAAGATAAACAAATAAATAATACGGAGTCCCAGGAAATAAATAAATAAATACCCGGAAGAGGCAATAAAAATTAAATAAATAAGTATACTGATGAGCAAGTAAATATCTATGTTGGTAAGTACTATCATGATCCAACAAACAAATAAATAAATAGATGAATAGAAAAAAAATAACCCGAAGAGCCAACACATAAGTAAAAAAGAAAGGAAAAATAAATGAATAAATAATCATGTGCTCAATAAATAAATAAATAAATAAGTAACCCAGCAGGCAAATGAATGTTAGTAAGTATGTAAATAAGTATTAATGTGAGCCAAGAAAGAAAGGAAGAAAGAAACAAAGAAAAAAGGAAATGAAATGGTGAACCAATAATAAGTATTATTGCAAGCAAATAAATGTTCTTAAGTAAGTATTATGGTGAGCCAATAAACAAACAAACAACCTGGTGACACAATAAATAAATAAATAATTAGACAATAAATAAATGATTAAATAAATAAATAGGTAAGTAGCTAAGAATTCCAGCAAGCAAATAAATATGTTAGTAAGTAAGGATTATGGTGAGTCAATAAAAAAAGAGAGAAAGAGAGATAAAGAAAGAAAGGAGGAAAGGAAGAAAGACAAAAAGAATAAATAAGCAATCCACAAAGGAAATAAATCAATCGATAAATAAATAAATAAATAAGTGGGCAAATAAATATATGTTAGTAAGTATGTTGGTGAACCTCAGGCAAGCAAATAAATACGTGTTAGTAAATAAGAATTATATTATTTATATAATATAATATTTATATATATTTATATTTATATGATATAATATATAATAATATAATATAATTATATTATATTATATTATAGTGAGCAAATGAATAAATAAATAAATAAATTTAATGAGCTGATGCTAATCAATAAATAAATGCAAATAAATAATTAAATAAATAAATGAGCCAGTGCTAATCAATAAATAAATGCAAATAATTAAATAGATGAGCCAGTGCTAATCAATAAATAAACACAAACAAACAAATGAATGAATGAATGAATGAATGAATGATCTGGCGAGAAAGTAAATAAATAAATTAGTGAGTGAGTAAATAAATATTTCAGTGAGCAAATAAATGTTAGTAAGTATGTAAGTAACTATAATGGGGGGCCAATAAATAGATAGATAGATAAATGGATAGAAAAAATAAATAAATAAATGTTAGTGAGGAAGTAAGTAAGTATTCCGGTGAGCAAATCAATGTCAGTAAGTATCATGGCTAGCCACCAAATAAATAAATAAATAAATGCTCATTCGAAAGTGAATAGGCCAACGACCAAATAAATACATCTTAGTAAGTAAGTAAATAAGTGTCACAGCGAGCAAATAAATAAATTAATTAATAAGTAATCTGGCGGACCAATAAATAAATAAATCATGCAACAAAACTATAAATAAATAAGTTAGTAAGTGACTAAGTAAGTTTTCCATTGAGCAAATAAATATATGTAAGTAAGCAAGTGTTATGGTAAGCAAATAAATTAAAAAATAAGTAAATAGAGAAATAGATAAATAAATAGTCCAACATGCCAATAAATAATGAATAAATAAATGAGTTATTAAGTATCCAGGCAAGCAAACAAATATATATATGGTAGAAAATAATTATGTATTATGTTGAGCCAATAAATAAATAAAGGATCCAAGGAGCCAATATATATTTATATTATACATAATATATATATAAAGTATATTTATTATATATATAAAAATCCGGCGAGACAGTAAATATGAATAAACATTAGTGAGTAAGTAACTAAGTATTCTGGCTACCAAATAAATGTTAGTAAGTAAGTATTATAGTTAACCAATAAATAAATAAATAAGTAAAACCATGAGTCAATAACTAAGAGAATGATAAATAAATAAATGAATGAAATGAATAAAATAATCTGGCAAGGCAATGAATAAACAAATAAATAAATTGGTAGGTAAGTAAATATTATGGAAAGTAAATAAATATATTAGTAAGTAAGAAAGTATGATGGTGGGCCATTAAATAAATAACAAATAATTAAGTATGTTCCGGGAGCCAATAAATATATAAAAAATAAATAAATAAAAATAGACAAATAGATAAATGAATAAATAATCTGACAAGCCAATAAATAAATTAGTGAGTGTTATGTAAGTATTATGGTGATCAAATAAATATTAGTAAGTAAGAAAGTATGATGGTGGGCCATTAAATAAATAACAAATAATTAAGTATGTTCCAGGAGCCAATAAATATATAAAAAATAAATAAATAAAAACAGACAAATAGATAAATGAATAAATAATCTGACAAGCCAATAAATAAATTAGTGAGTGTTATGTAAGTATTAATGTAGCTAGAGTTTCCCTGTCTGGCCCACAGTCAGGACAAATCTCTCTCACCTGCCAGTCCCACAGATGCTCAAACCCGACCAAGTAAACACAGAGACTTATATTGCTTACAAACTGTATGGCCGTGGTAGGCTTCTTGCTAACTGTTCTTACAGCTTAAATAAATCCATTTCCATTAATCTATACCTTGCCATATGGCTTGTGGCTTACTGGCATCTTCACATGCTGTTTCTCATCGTGGCGCCTGGTAGTGTCTCTCTGACTCAGCCTTCCACTTCCCAGCTTTATTCTCCTCCTTGTCCTGCCTACACTTCCTGCCTAGCCAATGGCCAATCAGTGTTTTATTTATTGACTAATCAGCAACACATTTGCCATACAGAACATCCCACAGCATATTATGGTGATCAAATAAATATTAGTAAGTAAGAAAGTTTGATGGTGGGTCATTAAATAAACAGATAAATAAGTAAATGAATAAAAAACCTGGGAGAAAATAGATAGATTAGATAGATAGGTAGATAGATAGATAGATAGATAGATAGATAAAGCGATGCAGCGAGCCAATAAATAAGTAAAATAAATAATCTCGTGAGCCAATAAACAACAAATAAATAAAATAAAAAATGGATGAATAAATAAATAAATATACAATGATCCAATAAATAAATAAACAAATTATCAGGAGACAATAAATAAATAAACAAGTAAATATTTGGTGCCAAATATGTTACTACATATAAAGCTGAGGCAA